TTCTTGGCAAATTCGTTTCTACAATATATTTCAATCTATTAATTTGTCTGGTCAACCATTTATGAAGAAAGCATAACTTGATTCACAGAACCATAACAGCTATGTCGACTTTGAACATTTTTTCCACCATGATCATAACTACCATTCAACCTAAATTATGAAAATCATGCGAAGGGAGTCAGTAAAAGCATTTAAAACAGTACAACAGACTCAAGAAGAACAGCTATTGATGCACTTATAATGTACCTTTAAGCCACCATACTCTTTAAGTTTGTTTGATTTGCAAAGGCTTTTGAACTTGAAGAAGGCGATAGTAACTTGATGAATTATACAGATGCAAAAACTCAAAAGCTCCTTGTTTTAATATCTTACAGGAAAGATGATTAGGAGTGGAAGAACCAAAACAAACATGCTTAGAGGAGAGAAAGGAGAAGATGCAAATAGCTCTGGCTTGGCCATATGCCTTTCATGCTTGCGTCACATTCTTTGCAGATGACCTAACACACACTTACAGCAAGAGCCACAATAAGAGCTTCAGACGCACACATTGCCAAGGAAGGCAACATCAGTGACATTACATTCCCTCCAGATTCCGAGATGTTGCTCGTCAAAAGTCATACGATGTGATTGATAAGATCATATATTGCAAGTATGTCTAATTTGCATGAAAGAAGAGGATTTTAGAATTAAAAAAAAAAAAAAGAAAGAAAGAAAGTAACCAAACATATACACCGCTGCTTGCACAAGAAGCGAAAAAAATGCAACTGATATGGTGCTTTCTACCACTACTCATTTGATCCTCAAACTTCAACTCCTACAATTGCTTATTATAATCAAGTAGGAAATTAAATAATACAGTACAAGGTATCCTGCAAACAAAGAGTTCTGCCTTAGTGCTATCCAAATTGATAGCACTATCATTTTAAAGGAAAAAAAAAATCTAAGACAACAGAAAACAAAATAAGAAAACATAGACTAGTAGAATAAGTACATCAATTTTCTCTTCTTCTTCGAATGATTATATAATTCTTTTACCCAACGTAAAAATTAGCCTTGTGAAACAATAATAGTCAATTTGAATGAATTTTCTTACCAGTTTTGTAAACCTGCTAAGCTTACTCCAGCTAGAAATAAATTGACTTGAAATTTGGAAACCTTTTGTAGCATTGTCCCATGAACTTGAGCAAATACTGACCTGCAAGAGAAGATAAAATGAACATTTGAAATATATACATGTATATATGCATTTGCAATTGGATAAGGGAGACAAAGCAAAGCTATGAATGGGCTATGTTTTACAATGGTAGGGACTCCATGCTCATAACCAATACCTGTAATTGAGCACGACCATACAACTATGACTTAGAGTCAAAAGGAGCAGATTTTAAACTACAGTAAGCATAAAAAAGTGAAGTATCTTTGTTTCAGGTGCATGGATGCTTTGAAGACCATGCTGATTTGAGAGGGATGAAGGACCATCTGCAATTGTTTTGCTAAGGAGAATATTATACCTTTAAAGGTTATCAGAACTAGAATGAATGGTACAACCATATAAAAGAGCTCAACCATGCTCTGCCCATAGGTTATCTAGAAACATTAAGAGAGAGAGAGAGAGAAAGAAAGAAACAAGAAAACCTGCAGGCTGCAAAATGCCAAATCAGCCTTCTTTCTCAATTCAAGAGTGCCTGCAGGCTGCATAATGCCTGATCAAGGGGTAAAATACTGCCTTCTTCCTCAAGTTAATAGGAAGGAATTAGTGACCGCTTTGATCATTTACAGATCACAAAACTTATTTGGATTTATCGCACAAATGTTGGCTGAGAAGAAGACACTTCATATAAGTACTTTGATAGTCTTCACAGTTTCTGAAAAGTGCACAAAAAGATTCACCTGTTGAATCACTAGACATCAGATCCACTAGCATGGCTGCTGTAGAAATATATGCAGAAAATCCTTTCTTAACCATTTCATGAAGAATTTGTGCTACCCTCGATATGTCATTGTTTTGAAGACATCCTTGGATCATCATATTATAAGGGCAGCTATTTGGCATGCAACCATCCACTTCCATTTTCCTAAGCAACTCATATGCTTCATTTGGTAGCCCTTCTTTACACAGCCCTTTAATCCTATATTATTTCTAACAGCGGGTTCGGGTCAGGTCAATTTAAATTAAATTCAGAACTTAAAATTCGAATCCTTTAAACTTTCTTCGATTTTAGACAGTCTTGAATTTGGGTTTATTTTGAATTTAGACAATTTTTAAATTCAAATTATTTGTGTTGGAGTTTGAATCATTTTCAATAAATTCAGGATTGTTTTAGATATTATGTTAGCTATTTTCTTTTAAATTACGATCAAATAAATGAATTGACTTATGTCAAGTTAATATCAATAATTAATTAATGATTTTTTAGATATAATTTATTCAATGAGATGAGATATTTTGAACTAGAAAATAATATTAATTTATTTTATAATTTCTTGAGGTTGAGAGGTATATAAATTATAAGTTGAACCTAATAAAACCCTTAATGATTATGTAATAGCGTATTTTCTTTAGCATGTTTTATGCAAGCAAATTGCAAATCCTTCATTCGCAACCTTTTTAAATATTTTTAGAGTATTTTGGAGTAATTGGTAAATCTCGGTATGATCAGAAATGAAAGACAAGAATTTGCCTATTTATGAGAGAATTAAAATACCAATAAGATAATTATTTGTATTAGCTTAAGGGGCTTGCTTGGATTGATGAAGGATGGAAGACACTTTCGAATTGAATTATAGATTTGATAAACTTAATAAGTTACAACACCATGGTCTGCTAATATTTTGTCACCATAAAAATTGAAACAAGACTTCCTGGTTATTAAAGAAAGTGAACAATGTTAAAATTTAGAGAAAGCTCATACTTCATTAATGGTACCGGACCGCCTTAAATATAAGAAAAAGAAAAACTACTCCTTAATACATATATTAGGAAAGGAAAAAAGTATCAAAGAGTAGTGATCAACATGACCACATAGCAAATAACTACTGGTTCATGGGTACATGGTTAAAAACCACTAATGAGAACATGTTCGTAAACTCAACTTACAAGAAAGGAAATAACTACTTACAACAAGCCGCCAAAGTCTGCAACTCTCCTCAATTTCAACACACCTCTTTGACGTTGAGCTTGGTTAGCTCGCACAGCTTCCTTATAGGTTTGTTTTTCAACAATCTTTGCCCTGAACAACGCCTCATTACAGTCTTCTTTCTCCTCAACGACTACAGTCTTTTTTTCATTGCATATACCTTTGCTTTGACAAACCTTCTCAATGTGCCTCATTTGATTGCAATATCGACATTTCACACTAGGACGAACCCAGTAAAATTTCTCCATATGATTTTGTTTTCTACAATACGAGCATGGTTGAAACTTAGCCTTAACTTTCCATTGTTTCCCATCATTGTTTATTCTTTCATTCTCCTTGTCTTGGTCATTCTTTCTTTGACTATTGCCTACATTTTTTTCTCGACTCCTAACCATCTAGACACTCTCTACATGTTCATCATTTCGCATGACGCATATTTGTTCTTGAGCTTGGAGGGCATTCATAAGCTCAGTAACTGTCAATTGAACAATGTCTTTGGAATCCTCAAATAAGGATAGCTTAACCTCAAATTTTTCAGGAAGACTTATCAAAATCTTGTTCATGATCCTGCATTCAGTTAAATTTTTAACAAGCAATCTGAGTTGATTAATCAGCTTTATAATATTGTCAAAATTAGACTAGCAATTTGTGTTTTCGTGTCTTAAACGTGTTAGATACGATTAGATACAAAGCACGTTAAGGTTAAACACGAACACGATACGATTAATATTTGTGTCTTAAATCTTACACATGTATACGTATATATTTAATAACCGTGTAATATAACGCAACACGATCAACACATTTGTTAAACATGTCAATATACGACGCGACACGATTAATCAGACGTTTAAATAAAAATACTTACAATTAAATATAATTTTATTATTTATATTTAAAAACAATTATAACAAAATAAAATAAAAATAACATCAAATATAACACAACAAAAATTCAAAATTAAGGTTTGGGCATAGCATAAATACATTATTATCTTTATAAAATTTAAAAAACTTATTATAATAGTTGTTTAAAATTATTTAAGTAAGGCTAAAATAAATTGCGACTATTAATTTTTTATAAATTAATAAACATGTCATGTATACATGTTTAAACACGATTAAATATGTTTATACACATTTATACGTTTAAAACACGATAACATGATTAATTAAACATGTTACTCTTATCTCACACGTTAAGATACGAAAATTTTTGTGTCTTAAATGTATAAGACATTGTTAAACACAAAACATATTAAGTTTAAATCCAAACTTGTTTAATCTCGAGTTTTCCCATATCATATCCAAAATTGTCCAATCTAATCAAAATATTCTTTAATTCTCTCTTCATCTTTCATCTTCAACGTCTCGAATTCTCTATGGAGATTCAAGACTTGCGCATCTAACAGGTTCTCTCGATGTCATGAAACTCCTCTTTCAAGTGATCCCAAACATTCTTAAGCGATTCAAAAGTCATTATTTTTATGAAAATAACATTTTACGCAACTGAATAGATATCTTTTCGTTACTTCCTCATTGTATGTCACTTAACTCATTGTATTGCTTCATTTGCGTCACTGTGGGATTGGATCTCTGGTGACTCATCTCCCACTTTCACAACATCCCATAAATCAAAAGCGGTAAGATATACTTCCATCTTCGGCCTAAATGGCATAATTTTCTCCTGTGTTTTGTAAACACAAACAGAGTAATAACATCAAAGCTTGAGGAAGCTAAGGTTAAGGTGCTATACTTTAAGAAGCCTAAGAACAAAAATTTCCAAACAAACAAAATTATTAGTGATATTTTTACGTTGTCAGTCTCTTAAGATCCTTTAGGGAGCATTGATATCATGTTAAAATTGAAACAAAGCTCACACTTCATTAATAATGCCTAATAGCCTTAAATACAAGAAAAAGAGCAACTACCCCTTTAACACACGAAGAAAGGGGAAAACGACCAAATGGTAAGGGTCAACATGAGCACATAGCCAATAACTACTGATTCAAAATTACATGATTACAAACCACTAATACATGCCCCTGAACTTAATTTACATGAAGAAAACTAACTAACTGCAGCGAGCTGTCAAAGTCTGCAACTCTTCAAACTTGATCCCAATAAACACACAAGATAGAAGAAAAACAACAGTCGCCATTGCTTTCATTTGGACCACAGATGTTCTCGAGTGTTTTATTTGCCAGATGCCCCAGCACTTGGCTCCAAAGCTTGCTCATTCTGGTTTTGCCGGGCTATCAATTCACTATACATATTAAAAGAACAAAAAGAAAGAGGGATTTAGTTTTGTCACCAATGTTATCAAAATTTTTTGAAAAACAAACTTTACTTTTTCTTAATTATTCTGTTAAATCTTCCAATATATTATGTTAAAGAATGAGGAATTCGGCCACTTAATCTTTATTTCTTTGCAGCATGTTAATTTGGCTTTAACTTCGTATAATATTTCTCCTTCCATGCTAAATAGTTCATATAATAAGTAGCTTAGGTCCTTATGCAGACCATGCTTGGTGAGAGGGGTTGTCTCCCTCTGCTTCGTCCTGCAACACTACAATGTTAAAAGGGTAGTTTTTGTACATTTGTCGATTAATGAAAGCTTAGAATTTGCCTTTCAGAAAAAAAAAAATCTCCTGCCATGTTTTGTCTCTGTTATGCTTTTCCTTCTTTTTCCTTCTTGGTCTTTTAAGCAGTAAGTATCTTGGGCTGAAGCCTGTGTCTATATGTGAACATTTCAAAGCCAGTCAAAAGTTTAAGATTAGTGGTCTGCCAGTGCCAAAATATAAGCCTATTTACGTTGGTTTAACGAGAAAACTCTTCAAATGAAAATTATGGTGAATATGGAACCATATTCAAGAGAAGTTGTTCTAGGAGATTAAAGGTGTCATGGGAAATGGAAAGGAGTTGCAAAAGATGCCATATCTTAAAGCAGAGGTCTTAGAATTTTAGCTTGTACGTGTGGCATATATATGTAGTGGAAAGTGGATATTGCATTCTGGTATTTTTCACATGCAGGATATGTTCCTCTGGTGTGTGGATATACAAGGTTATCTACGATGGGGCTGTTTCTGGAAATTGCTCATGGGCAGGGCATGCTTATTTCTGATGTTTGCATAGTTTGGAGTGTCTTGAGATGTTATCAGTCACCAGCAGGATACACTTGAGCTGTATCCTGTTACTGGAAGGGCACCATGTACTCTGATGCAATGGCTTTAAGCCAAGATGCATGTCCCTTCGAAATAAAATGAATTGGCATATCAACAAAAAAAGAAATGGTGAATATGGAACCAACCGTAGAGCAAGAGTGAGCTCAGCGGCTTTGGCGAAATCGTTGTTCTCTCGTGCTTTTAGGATTTGAAACATGATGCCAAGGCGGAGTCTGGACCAGACACTCTGTTTCATAATGATCATCGTCTCGGCATGAAGATTTCTGCATTCAGATTCAACGGCTTCAAATCTTTCTTTAACTTTTCTTTGCCCCTCTTTGATGAAACTCTGTTGCTCCCTAATCTCCTCCATCTCCATTTTTAACTGCATTAATTTGGTGACCATTTTTTTGTTCACGAGCCTTCTTTTCTGCTAGCAAAAAAAGAAGTGTAAATACCATCGTGCATGAGCCAGGATCAATGACGATTAACAATGATCAGGAGATAGTTAAGTGGGAACAACAACCATTTGGTTTTAGTACATATCAAGAAGTATAAAAAGAAAGGGACACTCGAATTTTGGGAACCACAGGTGGCCACCTAGGGCCTTGGTGCTGGGCTTGTTTCTTTGTACAGGATCCTTACTCAAGGAGTGAAGTAACGGGCCAGATGTTTCTTCATAAGGGTAAGGTACGTTGGCTTCCAGCATGCGGCTCTTTTTCTTGAAGTACATACCAGTGAAGATTGCTGAACTACTAACTCAAAGTGCTTTTCTCAGCTTTAAGAACTTAAGATGGATATCTTTTGTGAGTTTGTTTTTAGGACATCTCTCCTGCAAATCTGATATAGTGAGCTAGGATTTTACAAAATTATGTCTTTAGATTATGTACGTTTCTCTACCCAGAAACAAGCTATGTTAGTTATCTTAGGAATGCTTCAAAGCAAATGAACAGTTGAAAGCCCTCAAACCAGGCCTTTTGTTTATGCCATTTTCAGTCTCTTACCAAAGAAGGCTGAAGGTTGAATATGGCATTTTGGAGGAGGCAATCAATGAAAATTAACATGCTTTTTTCAAAAGAAACAAAATTACATATCCTGCAAGATTATAACAATAAGAGATGATAACAAGTTTTAACAACACCAACATTACAGTTACCCAAATTCTTCTTCGGGATGATTGGCGACGCCTCCCCACAATTAATGTTGAGAGCCTGACCTTGCGAAACGCCTCTGCGTACGCCACTCTCCCTCTTTTTTTCTTACTACATTTGTTAACGTTGACGCCCAAAGTCATTGCAACCAGCCAAAAAGAAAGAATCCGGCCCTGGTGATACATCCTGACCTTAAAAGTGTTTATATAGAGAGACATCTTGTTTTAAAAACAAAAATAAATAGAGAGAGAGAGAGAAAATCTTGTACATGTGGAATATAGCTGGAGGAAATTTGGAGGAAGGCCATAATTTTGACAAATTAATAACGTCTGAATCTAAAACCTCTGTACCCATTGCATCTCATAACAACTTATCACGTATCTATTATTTTATTAAAAAATATGTTTAATGCATTAATAATATATAATTTTTATATACTATCATATCATCAAATCTTTACACCACATTAAAATTTAAAATCATTTTGAGATTTTATCAATTTTTAATTTTCTAAATTAATATTTCATTAATGAGGTATTAAGATTTGATGCCTTCATTATGTATGGAAGCAATACATTATTTGTACATTAAATATTAATTTATTTTATTATTAAATTAATACATATTTAATTTTTTTTCTTATATTTTTTATTGTAGCATTAAAAGTTAAAAAAAAATAAACAAGTTATCCAACAAAGGATCCCTCTAATCAGTGCATAGGAGCTCTTGATTTTTCTTTTGCAAGAAAACAGAACTAAGCTGTATGATATTTTTACATTTAAATATTTAATTTATTAATTAATATATAATCTCTTACTCAAAAAATATAATTCCAATCTCTTTCCTCAATTATTAAAACATAAGAAAAAGCTGCAGGACTTTTCTAGGAATTGGTGTGGATTTCTTCGGGCACCATGGGGTCACATTTATGTTCAAATCTACTTTGCGCTCGCAGAGAGGTTGGTGGCGACTCGCGCGGGATACCTTCGGTTCAACGTGCGATGGTCCGACACAAAGGAAAGAAACGCCCGATTGTGTACTTTACTCATTGGTGGGGGCCCATGCCGACAAGCCAACCACGGATTTCACCAGCAGCTTTTGGGAGAACAAATCCCCATTTATATTGCGGAGTTAAAGCCAGTATATGACGCTGACGTCTCAATTGATCCATAGCCAATGACGTAACCACTGTGGAAAGACGTTTGCTTGTTTTGAGGGGTAATTTTATTGTTGACTCGAGACTTGATAACTCGCCGTACATGGTAGGGCAAATTCTTTCATACGCCAACGACAAAAATTTTATTTCCCACTAGTGGATTTATAAAATTGTTAGATGTTGGTTAGATTATAATTAAGAAAACTAATAAATTAACATAATTACAATATGAACGCGTATTTTATATATATATATAAATTTGTTTGTGGAACTTAAAAATTTCATCATTAGTTTTTAGAATAATAATCTTACTAGCTTGCTAATTTCTCTATACGGTTTTCACGTTTCAATTTTGGCTAATAATTTTTATCTTTGCTAAACGAGCATGTACAAGCAATAAGATAATAACTAAATACATAATTATCAGATTTGGACTAGCGTGCTAGTTGAACCGGGTGACTCGATTCTTGATTTAAAGTCAATTCTTCAAGTAGATTATTTGTGCAATTAATTCCAAAAAATCCGTATTGATAGATCGAGTTTATGAAAAATGTAGTGATCCATTTTTTCAAAAAAAGATTATTCACTCAATATTGACTTGAATAATCTGATGATTGAACCAGTACCCAAGATTCAAAACTTTGAACGCGTCAATTATCTGGTCCAGTTCCGATAATAATGGCTAAATATTGCAATCACTGCAAAAACTTGGTTAATCTAATTGTTGAATGGTTCAAGCCAGAATGGCGTTAATGAAGAAAGGTTAACATGATATGTCTCGGTACTCTGGAGAAAGCAAGGATAATCGACGGAGACAGAAAAGAGCCTGTGTTTTTAGCTAATAGGTCCAATAAGGAGAAAACGGCAGCCTTGTCCTGAGAGAGAAAGATGTTTGCTGGAACTGGAAGTTTCATCTTCAGACACTTCATCCTTACATTTTTTATTTACTGGGAAAATAGAAAAGAGTATAAAGAGACAGAAGAAGAAAGAAAAGAAAATGTAACGAGACAAGCCTTTGGAAAGTATCGGAGGAGCGTTCTGCTAGGAGCTGCCTCCTTTTATAGATCATTATTGTACGGATAAACACTTTTGGTTTTGATCTCTCCAAGGCTTAAGGGGTTCTGTCACTTTCATATCCAAAATTCATAAAAAAAAAAAAAACTTCTCATTAAATGCCTAAACATTGTTTTTTTTAGTAAAGAGTATTGGAAAAAATTAAAAATTTCTATTCAAATCCTACCTCACTCTTACCATTTTTTTACATCATGATTTAATTGGGAATATGTATTTTTGTCATTAATATCATTTGAATAAAAAATACCAAAAAAGATGTCATACAATTGGGAGGATTTTGACATGGACTAAAATAAGTAAATTATTCAAGATAACATAAAATTTTCAGCTATTTTCTTCATTTATTTTGATTCTCCATTTAAAATTCTTTTGTTATCTTAAACCCATACTTTTATCCATGCGTGACAAAGGAAAAACCCTCAAATGAAAAAAAAAAAAAAAAGACATACATTTGAATCCTAATCATAAAATTAGAGATTTAAATAAAAAATTTTTGAACTTGGATGACCAAAGTGAGCGTAGTCCTAAGTTAAGGGACCAAGAGGATAATATGGTATTTAAGGGTAATCGTGCGATTATCGTACGTTAAAGATGTCAACATAGGTGGGACGTGCGATAGGCCAAGATTACGACCTCCTCTGATGTCTTCATCACTAAAGGAAACAGTATACTCTATCAAAATAATGCTTGATGCTGACATTCCAAAGTTTAGGAATATATATTTATACCATTTTATGAAAGTACGACCCTCCCAAATAAAGGCTAGCAACAAACCGTTGTAAAGTATGCAAAAATAATTTTCTTTTGGGTATTGGGTCAAGAAAGTCCCAATGAATATTATAATCAAAATAAGGCTTTCGAGTATCCTATTATGAAATTAAATATGTCAAGAGGTCATATGATATATATCATAATATTCTTAGGGTTTTCGAGTATTTTTTGACAAATATATCATAAAAATATAAATTAATGTCCTTAATACTTATGTTAAAGAATGCAAAACATAAAATCCTTTTTCTTATTAAAAAAATTAAAAGTACTTTGTAATGAAATGTTGGTTTCCGTTCTAGACAGCGACAAATTGTTTGTTGCAACTTAAATCTTCTGATTTAAATAATTTACTTAAGTAAAGCAGTAAAGATAAATAAACTATATGAAAATACTTCAAAAAATATGCATAGTTACATCAATTACTTTGGTTTGCCACTTCCTAATAAAAATGAATTCTTTCATATATACTTTTTTTCATTGGGAGAAAGTTCATATCGTCAGTATTTTTTAATTTTATTAATAAGTTAAATATATATAGTTATATTTTTAAAAAATTTCTAATAATTATTAGACTTGACCCAATGACTATAACTCCTCTACCGAAAGCATTAATCTAAAATTAGACTCTCTTTTTTCTTTAAACCTTGTCATATATATATCAAACCAATTTGAGAATAAAAAAAAAAATCTACATCAGTGCTTTCTGAATTCATTTTTTTAAACAAGAATACATACATTTATCATAAAATTAAATACTTGGATCACAAATATATATATATATATATGTGCTTCATATTTGTTTATTGAATAATGAAATTACATAATTGTTTATTGAATTTTAGTAACAGCAATAACCTTAAATACACTCAGTAGCAAAATTCTTTTCTATTTGGTAATGTCAAACATTAGTAACCATAGAAAAAGCGTGAACTATTTTAGACACGTAGATAACGATCGATGAGATAGAAATTCCAGAGAACTTGCAGAATCTTTGACCCCGTCTAGAATGGTTTGATCGGTGTTCTAGACGCGGCTCCGGCTGATTCGACAGTCAATGACCAGGTTCAATGCATGCATTATCTCCAATTCTCTCTCTTTTATCTGGAACTTTCGGGGTTTAGTTTACTTAAGGGTTCTTCTGTCATAACCCATCTATAAGTAGACTTGTTTGTTCTTTCGCGGAAGTTTCAATAGCAGTGCACTGCGGTACCTATTCTTGGACAAAAAGAACGATTATTCCATGGCGAAAAGGAAAGCAAGTGAAGTGAAAGTTCCGAGGAATTCAATGAAGCTTGAGGTAGCTAGCATCGGTAGATTCTTCGAGTTTCCATATCTTAATTACTACTTTTTTCGTATGCTAATGATCCTATCTGTTTTAGTGTTCTTTTCATGAAATTATCTTTGTTTTGCTTCCCTGCAAAAAGGAATTGGAGGACATTGTGAAGCGATTGGAACAGAAAACGGTAAAGAAGCGAGCTAAGAGAATTCGGATGAGAAAATTGGAGAAGAAATCAAAAGCAGAGCTTAAAAGGATAGAGAAAAAATGTAATCAATTAAGAAAAGTGAAAAGGCAGTTGGTTGAAGAAAGTGCTTGGGCCCAGGCTTGCATTGATATCATGCACGGTATTGTCAGTGCTGAAGATGAAGGGGATGCAACTATGGTTGATCTCCTCACTCGGTCTCTCGGGTTGGTTTTCTTCAAATATTTTTAGTCTCTGCGAGTTTGTCGTATCCATTGGACTATAATTTTATTCTCCGTTTAATGACAAATTAATTTGCAGTGAACTCATGATGCCACAGCAGAACCAAGAAAATCAACACCCAATTGATTGAAGATGGATCATTTAGACTGGTATTTGATTCATGGAAAGCTGATCGTACAACAAAATCAAAGAAAGAACAGTTTATCAAATGGTTTGATCTTATGTATGTTTGCTGAAAAAAAATTAAAAAAAAAAAAGTTTAGATCTTCGTTGTTAGTCAAGATAAATCGATCCAAGTACCAACCGTTGGAGTAAAATAAGGATTAGTTGGTAATGAGAATGATCGATTGCGATAATTCCACATTGTTCAATAGAGAAGTCTATCTTCAATGAATGATGAGATATTGTCTATATCATAAATAAATCTATTTTAATTTGAAATTTTTGATCACACCTATAAAATAATAAAAAATTAATAAATTTATTAATATTATTAATTATATAAAATTTT